TATATATATATATATATATATATATAAGCTGGAAACCTACCAACTACACTCAACGATACAGCCATACACAAACCTACTGAACTACTCTATACTACACTCCTACACTCTCTTCACGGACATTTGAGGTCTCAAGTCGGCGAGTACGAAGATGACTGTCTTCTGGGTTTTCGCGCCGTGTAGTATGATGGAAACTTACCGACGTTTCGAAGGTGATTCCTGCCGCCATCATCAGGGTGATGAGCCACTGATCACCCCGATGATAGAGGCATCAAACACCGCTAAAACTCCGGTAAATTTCCAACAGATTAATGGGGCAACAATTTACTTGCTCACTCGTTAACTTGGGCAGTGTTAGTTACCAACTCAACAATTCGCTGTCTGTCACCTAGAAAGTTCTCAGCCACATTTCCAAATTTAAACTATTACGGAGCCAATACGGCAGTGAGCGCTGTTGGTCATGATGACAGGTACAGAGCATTCAATTAGCGAAGTAAATAAAAAAGCGAAGGCTCCTGAAAGCTGAAATAGACCCATCGAACTGGGTAGACTTTAAACTTCGCCGTCCTGAATGCATATTAATTGGCCAGTTTTGTCAGTGCATTCATGACACCTCTGGATGTCGTCACCTGGAAGTAATACAGTCCGATGTTTATGTATGCGGGCATTGCTTCATGACGAGTCAGTGGGCTCGGCGTGTAGCCTATTCTACGGCGGATAAGGGGAAGGAACAGCGTAATATTACACATTCCAGAGGTACGATTAATAAAAAATTGTCAGTGGAACCACTGTTCCGGAGAATTTGACGTAAATACGTCTATACGGAAAGGAAGTTTATTTATTGGCTTTATTCTAAATATTTCCTTCATACATGTTTTACAATTGAGATAAGTTTGATTAAGACCTTTTTCTCGGACTGGGACCTGTTCATATACGTTCTTGGCAGATGATCCAGAAGTGGTTTGCCATTGCCTTCTTCTGTGTGTGAATGGAGTAATTGTTGGGATGCCACGGAGGAAAACTCCGTGTTGCCTAGACCACAGCCTTGCCCAACACAAGTTATAAATCCGGGCACCGCCGGGAATCGAACCCGAGACCCCAGGATTATAAGGCCAGCGTTCTAACCGCTAGACCACCGTGGTGGTAAGGTAAGGTAATGTAATGAAATGTTTTATAGGTAACAACAATGCCGAGTAAACAGATGACGTTTCCTAGGTAACAACAATTCCGAGTAAACACGACGTTCCCTAGGCACACATGTTACACTTTTTCGTTTCCCTTTTTCGTTACACTTTTTTGCCGAATGACCCTTCCTTATAGACGTATTTACGTCAAAAAAAGTAACAACTTAATAGCAGAAAATTCATTAAGGATTTACGCGAAATTTGTTTATTTTTATATACTTCGAGGTTCGCGGTTTACAAGCAAGAGAATATCCACTGGTAGAACGGCCTATAATGGGCAAACAGACCCTAACAAATTGTTTACAGCACTGTTGTTGTTATTATCCGTAAAGTATAATACTTCTTAAAAAGCTAATGGTCGCTCAGTTTGTCAAAAAAATATCCAAAAGACACCCATCTTCATATCTGACATAAAGTAACAATTAACTTCGTTAATAACACAAAGTATCGGACGCTGGTTCTATTTCTCTCATTGGGTAAAGGATGGGCCAATTAGACGCAGCTAATCTCCGTCCTTAGTAAGAAACTTTAAATAAAATTTCAATATGATATTAGAAGAAGCCCCATCTTCATATTCGTCTCCGTCTCATTCTTCGTAATACATTGCGTTCACTGATAAAGTTGAACGCAGCTGACATTTCCCGGCTCCCGGCAGGAACTGCATGACTCACCGCCAAGCTCTAAAAGATTTTTCCGATGTGAGTTAAGTAACGCTCCATAAAAACAAACCAGCTTAAACCTCTTTAGTAGCAGTTCCTGCCGTGAGCCGTGAAATGTCAGCTGCGTTCAACTTTATCAGTGAACGCAATGAGACGGGGCCCTATCTTGGACATGAACATGCAAGTAGAACGGCTTCAATCAACTGAGCAGGCCTTACATATGTTTTCTAGGTCAGAACATTACAAAATACTCACTTACTACTGAATAATTTCACAGATATTGTAAGGACATATGTAGAACGCAAAGGTTTCCAAGGTCCTGACGATAAGTGTCGTCGCTTTATTAAAACGCCAGTTTTTGTCAGGTAACGCGAGACGCATTGGCGTAGAAAGGCGAGTACAATCAAATCGCGTGGCGCCAAGGAGAGCGGAGAGGCTGGGGGGACGGGTCCATTCATCTGACGGGGACCGGGTTCTGCTGCCCTCCCTCGCCGTAGTACGATCAATATAGCGCCGGTTGCCATGTAGCAGTCCTGGTTCTAGGGAACACAACAAGCCGTCTAAAAATCCCCAGAAAATAATTGTTTTCTACGGGCGAATGGCGATGCATGTTTTGTTGAGTGTCAAGTGTTTAGCTGCAATGTTCTTGGCCAACCTCAGCCATGTCTCTGGTAAGTGTTAACGCCGTCCCTCACTGTTATGTCTCGACGTGTGTGATTTATATCTCGAGGAAGTTCGTTGTTGTCAAGATTTCGTCGACAGCAAGAGAACACGGTTTTAATCGTCAGGTTATTGCTTTCCACAGTGGATGGTAAGTATGACGAATAAGAAATGACATCAAATTTTGTGCTAAACGCCCATTAATGCTACTGTTATAAAACTGTCGTGTGTGAGTGTTTAGGTTAATAAAAACGAGAAATAATTCTTCCCGACTTTAAATAAGATTGTAAACATCATGGTTCTGACAAAGTGTAATCCGCCACAGTGTGTATGAAAATTACGTCACTCGCAAAGATTATTCAGAATCTTGTACTTTATTTTATAAGCAAAGATACAGCTGTGTTATCATTTATGTGTGTCCGCTTTCGGAACTAGCCACTAGATGCCACTACAAGAACGTACTTATTAATTTAGTCTGTAACATCAACATGGTGGTATTCCTAACATTTGATATGTTGTGTGGTGACACGTTTTACATAAAAAAAACATTTAATTTTATACGAAATATATTGTTAGCTGTCGATGTTGGTCTTCTTGGCTGTAACGCAATGTGGACCTTCAGCAGCAACTTCGCCGACGTGAGAAACTCAAATTTCAATAAATATCCATTTTACGGCGTAAATAATGAATCATCTCAGGTAGATATTTCGTGATTTTGTACTCAGAATGACTAAAAGCATATCTAAAAAGATTGAAAAGATACAAATCATAGACGAGTAAACCAAGTTTACATATATCTTCTTTGCACCAGACATTCCAGATGCCTCTCGCTGTCCCAAATAGGTTTTACCACAAAATAAACAAACATAAATAATTGTGATATTTCAGATTGCCACAATTGCAAATATGAAGATTGATGACCGTCTTCTGGGATGTTGCACCCTGTAGTCTGGTAGATACTAACTAACATTTCAAAGGTGCTTACTGCCTTCATCGTCAGGGCCACGACCGCTCAGATAGCCCTCATAATAGAGGCAGTAAGCTACTTTGAAACGTCGGTCAGCTGCTACCAGACTACACTACGCAACATCCCAGAAGACAGTCATCTTCACACTTACGATGTGGAAACCTCTCAGACTGGAGCACATTTGCCTGTAGTGACACCGATCTGGTAGTTTGACCAAAATGTCTATCATTGCAGGTGCGATGCCGTGTCAAGATACCCTGGACTGTGCCAGGATGAACCTAGGCGGCTACACATGTCAGAACTTGCGTTGTGTGTGCGACCCCAACACTGACACCGGTCTCTTCCCTTGCAGAAGTAAGAACATTGATCTGACAGGTAATTTGAGGCGTAGCATTGCTGTAGACTCATGACAGTTACTTTCTACTGACTGACCTGGTGACAGTGGAGCAAATGTGAGTAGGTTAGCAGCCACAAGAACAGGAATATGTAACATGACATTTACAGCTGGTGAAAATGTATTTTACGGCAATCACACGCCACAGTTTTTGTATAGGTAGGTGGCCTAGTGGACAGAACACTGGCCTTGTAAGCCTGGGGTCTCGGGTTCGATTCCCGGTGGTGCCCGAATTTATAACTTGTGTTGGGCAAGGCCGTGGTCTAGGCAACACGGAGTTTTACTCCGTGGCATCCCAACAATTACTCCATTCACACACAGAAGAAGGCAATGGCAAACCACTTCTGGATCATCTGCCAAGAACGTATATGAACAGGTCCCAGTCCGAGAAAAGGATCCTGTTCATATGGACCTGTCGTCAGACAGAATAATAATTAAAAAAAATCGTGATAATTCTTAACTTCATTATTATTCAATATTCTTGCAATGCATGAAACTAGTTATGCTTATTAAAATGTGTGTAAACGAAACCTATGGTAAAGCCCGTTTAGGCAAACATTTGCCTGACAAATTTCCTATTCAAAATTGTTTAAAGCAAATAAATCCTTTATCACCAATGCTTTCGAATATGAAATTAATAAGTTCCAAGAAAACCAGGTGGGACTGAAATTTAATGGGACACATCAGCTTCTAGTCCATGCTGAAGATTTAGATCTGTTGGGGTATAAAATAAATCCCATACACAAAAACACAGAAATTCTAATTGACGCTTGTAAGGAGATTGGTCTACAAGTAAGCACAGAGAAAACTAAGTATATATGACGCTGTATCGTCACCAAGTTGCAGGGAAAAATGTTATATAAAGACAATTAAAAGATCCTTGGCAAATGTGACGAAGTTTAGATATTTGGGAGCTACAGGAAGAAATAAAAATTTGATTCGTGAGTAAATTAAGAGCGGGTTAAATTCGGGCAATGCTTTCTAGCGCCCAGTTCAGAACTCACACCAGTTTCTTGGCGCAGGCCGGACGTTCGGCGACAAGTGTCGGGCAGACTACGAGTGTCCCGAGGAGCTAAACCTCGTGTGCGCGAGGATCGAACTGAGGACTTGTCGCTGCCGAAGAGGTTACATGTGGAACGTTATGACCAAGACCTGCTACATGATAGACGACCAACCTTACGACAACGGTGAGCAGTTCAGGACCTCCGTTTACTTGTAAGGACTAGAAATAGGTCTACTCTTACCTCTGGAACACCCAACTTAGAAAAAATTCCGGATGCTGAATGACAGTTTCGGCGACGTTTACCCGGCGTCTGCATATAAGTATAAAACAAATTATTTCTTCTCTCCAATTCAAGTTAATTTCCTTCTGATTACATCACGAAATGCAAACATAAGCATAGCTAACTTTTCTGTAAATCAAAATACAGGCCGATTCCAGAATATTCTAGTACGCAGAACGATACGAGAGGAATACATTATAATTAGGTAACTTCATGAAGACAACAAATTTAATTATTTTATTAGAAAGCGACATAATTATATCCAAAATTAAAATATACAGTTTTTCTGCACGTGTCAAATTCGTTGGTAGTGGAACCACACGTGACTTACAGACAAATTTTTCTAGACAACAATGTAGTGTTAAAAGTATTGTGCCTTGTGTGGTTGTAAATTAACACTTAAGATTATTAGTGTTGGATCGTTCTTATTTCCGAAAGTGTATATCCTTTTTGCAGGTAACAAGGGATTTGACCCTGTGAGAGAAATCATCGTCCCTGGAATCGTTATTATGACGATAGGCACATTGATCTACGTAGGAATCAAAGTTTTCTGCAATTGGTGAGTAGTAACATTTCTTAAATCTGCTTAGAGAACCATTAAACACGTATACGTAGAAGTCCACACGGCTCTACAAACCCAGAAGATCAACACAGGCATTGCATAATTGGTTATAGAATCATCTAGACTTTAGTTGGAAGCATAAATAAATCACCTATATGACGTATTATTCGGTGATATCTGTGCATAATTATAATGATAAAGGTGGCATTTCTTATCCTTCCACGTCCGCGTGGTTGCAAAACGTTAGGTCCACTGCGAGAAACCAAGAAATTTTCTGGAAAGTATTGCGAGAAGCCAAGACATTTTCTGGAAAGTACGGAGTTTAAATCAATTGGGCGTCTACACTAAGATCTGCATGACGTCATCAATTTCAGACCGCACTGCAGCAACGCAAAGCTGGGTCTACTTTAAACCAAATCTAAATTCAACCACACATGTCCTTTTTTCTTACAAAATCCCATCATTTATAAAAGATATTTGGAATTCGACGCGAAATTGTACAAATTCACGTTACATAAAAATACACGATATTTTCTCACAGAACTTGTTCCTCTGAAACGATTATATTCATTGCATCGAATTCTCGTGAAACGAAAAAAACCTCGCTTCAAATTACTCTTCAGGACATCAAAAGAATACCTTGAATTTTTACTGTGGTTAAAGCGGACTGGGCGTGTTCCTGGATATCAACATCACACTACAGCCACCTACTGGATAGGACGCTGTGTGGGTCCAGAGACAATTTTGATTCTGAAAGGTGTAGACGACCGAAGCGTGAAGCTCACAGCTCGTTTCTATATAGTGCCTTTTGAGATGCTGTGCCGTGTAATCTTGTAGATACTGACCGACGTTTCAGAAGAGTTTACCGCCTCCATCATCAGGGTCAGTATCTACCAGACTACATGGTGTATGTTCCAGAAGACAGCCACAATCTTATCTCTATCTTTTTTTCTGGTCGCAGCGGGAAGTTCTGGAGACGGCGGGGAAGGCAGCTGAACAGGGAGTTGGACGACGGATCGCATCAGCAAGCCACGTGGGTCGCGTCCTACAGGGGTAAGAGGTCCTTTAGCCCTATTTGGCAATGCCCACTGCATAACATAAAAAAAGAAAGAAAATATTTTCCTTACTCACCATCTACCCTGCTGCCTGAAGAAATTTCCATTCTCTTATGTCCATATATTGTAGAATCCCACATCACTCACAATTTCTACAAATAAAATATGATTTGTCTACAAATAATAAAACTATATATCACAAGATCTTAATCTTTCCAAAATACAGAGGAACACACCACACATATTCAGATTTAATGTCACTTTTCTTCTCCAGAAGAGCTGAACGAATTCTAGTCACCGAAACCAATTACATTTGTTACTTTAACGGTTTCAATCCAACAGTTGCACAACTAATTACTCGCATATTTCATGTCAAAGTATAAAATTCTAACCAAAACCTATGAACTTCTTCTCCAAACCAACATCACTTGTTGTTGCTACCATATTGATAAATAACGTGCCATTCACTAAAATTCACCAATCATAATCCAAGAAACAAGAAACATACGATACTGCGTTCTGGAGTAGTCGAATGTTTAAATGCGTTCACAAAGCAAAGGCTATAGTTAAGAGTATGATTCACGTGTTCTATGATGCAGAAACAAATTTCGGAAAAGACGCGAACCAAACGTTCAAACTTCGCGTAAATTCGCATATTAGACCACCTGTACATATTACGGTATGCCTGCCTAGAATTTTATTCGGAAGAAAATAAACGAGTCAACAAATACCGCAGACCATTACATGAATATGTGTACGTTAATAAATACAAATATGACTGTTGTAGAAATACTTGAAGTCGTGACTCTAGCCATCCTGCTTACTATAAGTCCTATCTGATCTCTTATTATGCTATTTTTAAGACTAGTTTTCGAAAGAAATATAAAAAAAATTCTATAGACCTCTTTCAAACAGATGATTTCTTGTTAAATTAGTCTAAGCAGTAACTATTCAAAGTTCTAACATGCAGCAGTTTTCTCACTTGTTCACAGTGTTCAGCTCGCTGAATGGAATGGAGACACGTTCTTCGCCTGCACTGTCACCCAGTTCATCTTTCCCACTACACCCTACACCCTGCATGGGACTGTTCTTGCCCAGTGGCTCTCTAGCTACTACTTCCGCTACAGCTTCTACAACATCTCCACCACCATATGAAGAAGCACTTAAACACAAAGTGATTCTCAGCAGCTTCCCCAGTGCCACAACTGTCATTCTACATACAGCTCCACCCATCCAAGGGCCACTGAATAACCTACCAGCCCACTTCATGTGCAGTAACCCGGTCCCTCCGAACTGAAAGACTTGGAACCAGGATATATTGAAACAATTTAAGTTCGGGGTTAGTGCTGCTGGTGCAAACTCTTCACAGAGGAGAGGTGTGGTTAATCAGCAAGTTTGAAGACCAAAAGAACTTCAAGAGAATGGAAGTCAAGGGATTCTTTATTCTTCAAATTCCAGATGAGAATAAATATTACAAGATGATTATTTGAAGTGCTATGGCCATCTTTGGAATTTGAGAGGACTAACAAAGATTTGAAGCCATATTATGTTTTGGCTTATGATACGAGATGCCAGAACCTTCTTGAACATTTGAAAGGATCAAAGAATTCCCACAATATTATTGTCCCTCTCTGTCATGCAGAATCAAGAAGTGAAATTCCTGAACTGAAAGTTCAGATACTGAATGCCTACAGGATACAAAAGACTGCATATAATACACAAGTTTGAGAAAATAATTATTATTACTGCTTGGATTGCTTTTGCCCGATTTACATGGGTACAAACTATGGTCCATTTGAAACAGATGAGCCTGTACAAACAGCAGACTTTACATATTCTGTTTCCACCTCTCCAGATTTCAACCAGAAGTGAGGTGTACTATATACAAAATTAAAGATATCAGAATACCATAATATTCAGATGTTCATTAAGTTTTCCATAAATCTTTTATTCATGTGCACACTTGACAGAGAATACAAAGAGAAAATAGATAATTTTGTAAAATGTGATTGTATATGTAAAGTTAACTAAGGGTTAATTGTATTAATCTTCTTTCATATCCAACATAACCTAACATATCCGTCCAAGGATAGTATCAGCAAGAAATTGGCATGTAAGTAGCAGTAATGAACAAAGGCCAGTAAGTTCAAATAATATTTCAAGAAGCTAATGATTTTTTCTTCCCCCAATATGATGTTCACTTTTTGGGCTCTTTTGATAGATGCACAAAATTGTTTGGTGCAGAATGCTATGCACACGGCAATCATAAAAATGTCACATAATACATATGGTGTATGTATGGCAATATAGTCCCACAAAATGTTGATAGACAGGCTACAGTAAATTTAGCTTTATAATGTCACATCATTAAAAAAGTATGTGATAATACTTGCAGATAATTACCTGGTTCTTGTAGACTGCTTGTGGATACAGCAAACAGACACTGGTAGAATATTTTGGCTGTTGGTAAAGAGATTTAAATCTAAAAATACTATATCACATTTTATATTACACATAACTGGAATGTATAAATGTGTTTAGTGGCAATGAACAGTTAGTAAACAGCACAGTTACATTTACTATTATTATTTAACTTCAGTTTCTTTGTGGTAGTGCTGCAGCACAGCACTTCATCCCAAGTTTGTAAATCAGCTACTTTTACAATTGTTATTTACATCTCATATACTGGAAAACATTGTCCTAATTGCTATGAGGAACACAGAAGTATGTAATTAGGATACAGCAGGCAAATGTAAGAAAAACACAAAATATTATCAATAACAGAGAACCTGTATTCAGTGACAAGTATGCTATAAAATGTCCAGAGCCTAAAATGAAGATTCTAACAGAAACATTCCCTACAAATCCACATACTGAATCACTGTCACAAATCCCATAACTCAGTACGCATGATCACAAAATCAAAAGTCACAGGCATACAATGTACGATATTAAAACACACACATACATAACCTCACCAGCAATCAAAACAAAAAATTGAAACTTTGCACCTTTAAAACATCAACCACCACAAATACCAGCAGCAATATACACATACATCTATCATTTCCACTGTCTTAATTTCAAGCACTTCCTTTCTTAAACTTAAATAGGCCATGGCTTTCCAATTGTAAATATGATCAAAATGAAGTATGTGGTATCAAGTTTATTTGAAGTGAACAAATCCTAACAGTCTCAATTACCAGAGGTGCTTCATATAAACAATAAACATGAGAAACTTTGATAAAATCATGAGATAATTTCATCACAGCTTCTCAGCCAACATAACTTGATAATACTGAATGTATGCGACTCGCATAGAATGGACAGGATTTGCATGAATATTAACACCAATAAATGCAATATACTTTTTACCGTTGACTAGTTATGTTGGCAACATATATAAAAATACCGAACTGATACAAATTTGATTTTGGAAGTGACCACATACACAAAACATTTGTACAAATTTTATGCGCACATGGCGCACCTTCAGGCACAACTGTTTCTCAGAACCAAAATATTTTGGAAAGTTGTTCAGTTCTGTTACTCAAAGAAGTGTGCTAGATGTAAACTGCTTTCAACATTCAAAATTACACGTAACATTGCAGATGTAACATAACCTACATTTTTTGACAACAAACAGCTATTCCCAACATAACAACAAACAACAAAATAAAAAGAAAACAAGTATGTTATAATGTGAAGCTCTGGAACTCTCAACCAGTTGAGATATCCAGAGAAGATTGGTTACATATACATTGTGGAGGCAAAGAGAGGATTAACAGCTGTTACCAACAGAAGGGCACTATTAAATTAGGTTAGGTTAGGCAAACATTTCACAGGACTTGGTGAAGATAAAATTATCCCACCCACTTACAATAGACTGTAACATACATCTTTCTGTTTTACATTTACAATCTACACAAATACCAAATGACCTATAAGATTTACCAGGCGAAAGCATATTTAATGGATGAAAATTAAATCTGATATTTTTTTAAGGAATGCATGCTGTTGCGTGTTGATCGTTAGGTTGACAGTCAACCTACACAACAAATTTTGATTATAGTATCAACACTTATTAAAATTCATTACATGTTTTGACATTAATAGGTCATCTTCAACTGGTCAAAACTAGATGTGAATGAATAAATAATTAATCAACTGGAACTGGAAGATAGGGTATAGCTGTTATCTTTCATTGAAAGTCTTTTATGATAGTCGTAAGTCTTAAAGTAGTAAATTGGGATATTACTATTAATTAGCAATTTATTTTACACAAAGACTAACTGGGCATACTACAATTAAGTAGTGGTATAATTTATAGAAAGAAAGAGCTGATACTTGGATGTGCCAAATGGGGGGGGGGAATGAAATTAAAATGTAAATGATTTTAGTATATGACAAAAACGCATTACCAGCATATTTGAAATTAACAAAAATTAGGAAATTCAATCACAATAAATGCTTATCACTACACAAATCTTTGTTACTTCCAAATTTTCATGAACATTTCATTTCTCCTGCAGTTCATATCAATTGTTTTTGCATTTCTGTTACCCGTTTAGAAAGTTTTAATTTTGTTCAGTTCTGTATTTAAGAAGGACCATATTACAGCATTCTAAATGGCAAACCATTAATCCTCTCCTAAGATGGTGTACTATCAGTGGTAAGAATTGTGAGAGAAAATTTTCCACATATAATCACAACCTTTGCATTCGTGGAGATCCTCCATAGGATGACTTATCACATTATCCATAATGACACTTATGATGTCATTAGGACATGGAAGTCTTGGGAGAAAACAACTCATTATAACTTAATAATACATTGTATTCATTAAAAATAATTATTAGTATATTATGTGTACCCTACAGTGTTTACATAAAATTTAAAACCAACATTTATCCACCTGAAAAAATAACAGCTAACTAATAACCACACCACACACTCAAAAATTTTCAAGTTGTTCCTAACAACAAATGTATTTCAACATTTCTAAATACTATATTAATATTTACATTACAAACTAAAAATTAGCAATATTATTCTATAATTTTTCACTAAATTTAGCAACTATTTGTAGATACTACACTAAAACACTTCACTGCAGTATCACCAGTGCTTGCAGTTTTCAAAAGTATTCATGTGTATTTAGAAGTTTGAGGATTTCTCATGAGACTCAACAAAATATAACAGAAAGGCATTTTCCAGTGCAGATCATTCATATAAAGACAGCATCATATCAGACGGCTGTCTTCTGGGTTTTAGCGCTACGTAGTCTGGTAGACTTCTAGCATTAACAGCAGCAACAACACATTATGTAACAGATCACCAGTGTTTCAAATTTGCTTCTTATTTTTGGCTTATATTGGCAGGACATGTGGTTACAGGAAACAGTTTCAACTAACACAACAGTTTAGATTAATTTATTATTCTTGATATCGATGAGCCCAGTGAAAGATCATTAAAGGTAAGGAAAGACAGGTGTATTATCAACCTGTTTCACCTTGAGTCAGAAGTTGGTGGCACACCAGTAATGTCACTTTCCTACCCCCATTCCAACAAATTATGGGGTGGATGTGTGCAATGAAAGAAACTGGGTGCCTCAAGATTCATACCTGCCATTTCACTTATATTGTGTTAGAATGTATGAAGGCGATTCAAATTTAACCAAGAATTGTCGCCGTCTCTCATTGTAATGTCCTAAAAAATTCTATCCTGCAGAGTACAACAAGTACATACATAGAGGAGTACCTTGAGAAAATGGCTTAACACAAAACAGGTTAAAGACAATTTATTGATATGTTATGATCTAATACCAGATGAAATTCGAATTATGAGTGTGTATGACAACGTCCGTGTATGTAGAGGAGTGAATGTCTGCACTAAACAACACAGCCACCTTAACTGAGAGAAGTTCTGAATTTTGCCATTATATTGTCTGCAATTGTAACACAAAAAAAATATCTGAGTTTCAAGACAGGACAGGAGGACAATGCAGGCTAAATACTTCAAAATAATTGTAAGAGTTTCATGGAATGTTGAGGTATGCACCTACAAGTGCAATGGCAGGAATGATGGTGTAGTGAGGTTATGTGATAAAATCTAGAAACTAACTAAACAGGAACAACACGACACAAACCACTAACACAAACACTAATGTCACCTGGAGAATGAACACTCCAATTAGCCATTAAAATCTAAAGTCTTATTTGTTAAGTACGGTTATGTTTCAAGAACCCTACAACACGTATGGTTTCCTAATACTGGTTTCTACCTAAATCTACATACACAGCAGCTGTTTCTATCTATAGAGCCTATAGGGGATGCCACCAGGACCCATTAACTTCCAGAAAGTCTATTAAAAATAAATAAAAGTCTAATTCCAATATAAATGTAACACTGGTGCACTGATGCTCCTACAGAAAGACCAGTATTCCAGTCCCCCATCGATACATTTAGTTAAAAGACTTTATTTGCAAAATTCACATGGCAAGATCTCTATTCATGTAATGAACTTCATATCATGCATTATTGAACACTTTCAAATGTTGCTAACAACAAAGATATTAAAATATTGTCATTTAAAATGCATTCAATAAATTAACGTACAGGAGCAATCCAATTTCTCACATCAGACTATTTTTGAGTTAACCATCATTACTGCAACATTACTGTTAAACAGGGATATTTCTTCACTTTATAGTTACGAAGGGTTATCAGCAAGCCGCATCTTAAATGCGGATGGCAGCATCAGTTACAACAGGCATAATAATCATAAAACTCCTTTTCATATGCAGAAAGCAATTCAACTGTGACAGAAGTCGTAAACCTAAAATTACACAAGATTCATCACTTATTTTCATATCTGATGAATCTGACATATACATATTCACTACTACAATGCGTACTACTGCAAAAATAAACCGATGAACTAAAGAGGAAAAGAATTATCTCATCACATAAATAGCCTTTCATTATCACAATGCTGCAATGTTAAGAATTTGTAAGCATATACTCATATAATCCTTTGTTAATCCTCAGTAGTAAAGGTGATGGATAACAAAAGTCAGCTAACATTGGGGTGTGCTATCAGCAAAAGCACAAATTATATGTACCCTTTGCAAACAATGACAAAAAACATTAAATTTATTTTACTTATATCTTAATTGTGTCATGCTTTGTGTTCTTCAATACAATAATTTTATTCACCGTCTTTACACAAGCTTATAGATTGTTAAAATCACATAAAATTATAACATTTCAACATTTGATATTGTTACATTTTAAAATGACGACATGTTTCGATGTTCATTCCATCATCGTCAGGTCTATCAATCAAAATTAAAAACTGTTGCATCTGCTGCTCTGCGTATACTGATTTTGTTCTACCCGTTAGATTTAGAAGCCTGGAGGTTAAACAAATAAAATCTAACGGGTAGAACAAAATCAGTATACGCAGAGCAGCAGATGCAACAGTTTTTAATTTTGATTGATAGACCTGACGATGATGGAATGAACATCGAAACATGTCGTCATTTTAAAATGTAACAATATCAAATGTTGAAATGTTATAATTTTATGTGATTTTAACAATCTATAAGCTTGTGTAAAGACGGTGAATAAAATTATTGTATTAAATTTATGTTGAAATTTGCATTAACGATAACACATAATCTAGCGAGTTGACCTGGTATTCCGATTTAAAAATCAGAAACATTTTGTTGCATTGAACATATGAATGTATCAACATGTTTGGATAGCAGCGAAGGAAGCAAAATCTCAACAAACAATTACTTAAACATAATATGACTGCTGTCATATTAATAAAAATTCAAGTCAATATTTGTTCATTACTGACGCAAAATTAGAAAACCTGTTATCACTCCAGAACTACTATTTTCATTTTTGGTTTATTATAAAGACTAAAAGTTATAAAAATTTGTCAGACTGATGACGTTATCAAACTTTCCCTTCGGCAAAGTCTGTCAACATTTTATATGACCACTGTGGCAGATCAAATATGCATTTGTACAGTTCCTGAAATGGGTAATGCCATGACAGACCCAGTTTAAAAAATAAATACATTTTCAGTTTCTTAATAATACAAGTGCACACAAGAAACTATTTTGTGGCTCCTCCTTAAAGTTAATTTATACGCTGCGTGAATCTCTGTGACCAAAAAATGATAAAGCATAAACATCCAAGTGAGAAAAATCTAAACCTTACACGACCAAGAATAAAACTGAAAAAAAGGAGACAACACGATGAATCTTGGGGCTGAAAGTTTCTGAAAATTGTTGAGGGTAGACACAAATACCAATAACTTTCAAATTAAATGTGTCATATCACACAAAAATCTCATCTTCGTGTTTCCTTTACTGTAACAAATATTCCTGTTAAATTTGGTTAATGAAAACTGACAACTTTTTAATTAAAAATCACATCAATGGAAATAATATGTTAAAAAACTAAATACTCAACAGACAGATGTAAGACCATCATAACCACAATAAAGCTCTATCCCTTAACAGCATGAAAGAAGAGGATTTGAAGGTCCTCCGCTCAAATTCAGAACCACATGTTCTGTATCAACAAGTTTACCTCTTGGACACTCTGCTGATGAGCTTTCTGAAGGAAGCAGTCCATTTGGAGCGATGTAGTCCCTGAGTGGACTTCTCAGTGTTGTCGTTTGCTAATTTTATCTTGTTAGCACCCCTCGAAGTGGACATGCTGCGATGTCCACCTGCAGTGTCATAGAGTTCTGAGGAGAACCCAGAGTCGGATGAGAAGGCTCTACTGGTCGCAGCGGCAGCCAGGGAAGGGCCGGCTCCCATATTGGACGAAGTTGATGTAAGCGAAGTATCTGTCACTGGCATATTGGAAGGACTGCCAAAGGCACAATGGCAAGGAGGAGGACCTCCTGCTGTTGTATCAAGCATGTTGAATGAGGACAATTCCTCCCCATGGCCAGAGTCTTCACTGCTGGCTTCAGATGATGAACTAGTGCTCACCTACCAAGAGAACACAATGTCAGTTCACTGAAATTATACAGCTACGGCATATCTTAATTCAGTTTGCATGTTTTCACACTTTGCAGCATTTCCTATTTATGTGCCATATCTCCACACATACATTCATTTGTTGAAAGGGAGCCCATAATTCCAAAATGCTACACTATGTGCCACTAGTGTTGCTTTCAGTTCAGAAATTCAAATGGCTTCCATATTGGTATTATTAATGTTAATAAATAAAAACACACTGATTTGATTACTACATTAAAAATTCTTTGGCCTCTCAAATCACCAAGATCCTTACTACCCATCAGATTGGTGGCCAGTTGCACTGTTTTTTACTTTTCATGAAAATAGTTTGTGACTACTCACTATAACAGCTGCTTTAAGAACTGTCTCTTACTGAATACAGTAAATAATAAACTGTGACATAACAGCCCTCTGAGAGCCAAAGCCGACTAGCTGGCTGCTGGCCTCACGTTCACATGCCTAAGCAGAGGTGAACGATCATCCAACCAGATATAGAGTGACGTGTGGTCAGCACGACAAACCCCCAGCCATTGCTACCTTTCCTGACCGGATTGCGCTACTTATCGTAGCTCCCCAATTTCCTCACGATGCTGGGTTGACACCGGCCCCATACACTGGTCGAAAATCTCATGAGAAATTTCTTTCCCCGAGACTCGAACCGGCGCGCATTCCGTATCACCGGTCCGAAGCATGATGCCTCAGACCACGTGGCTATGACGCGGGACTACTGAATACAGTAGAGTCCAAATTATGTGACCTAAATGGGACTGAAGGACAGTCAGATCATAAAAAATGTTTCATAATACCGAAGACTAATTAAAAAGTTGAGGGTAACACAACCAACGATGAGTTGACCACTGATAAAATGGAGTGTTCTGAAAAGAGCACGTTGGATAATCAAGACTCTACTCTATACATAATTTCTCACCTCATCGATGTAAGATATATAAGGTAGAAGCGTTAGGCCGCCCACAGCACCATGAGCTATTTCACCAGGAAAATCTATGGGAAGAGACGGAGAAGGAGAGGGGGAACTGGTGGACGTTTGGGTCTCTGTTTCCTCCGAAGAATAGGCTCTGCGGAAGGAGTATTCAGATCGGGTGGATGGGAAAGGAGACGAGTGGCCCAAGAAGGCGTAGTAACCGGACATGGCTGAGAGGCGCCTCTGTCCTTGCGCGCTTGTACCGTTGCAATCCTCTGACGCGGTCGAGTATTTGTCGGATGTAGAGGAGCTGGTTAGGGGTACAGGCCGTATCCAGTTCCGCAGATCTTGCAGTGGTGTTTGGAAGCAGGACAGAAGTTGTTTCTTGCTGTAATTCAAGGCAAAGATTTTACGATGAGTTAATATTTATATTCTTTGAACATTCAATGATTCTTTCCTTTGCTACTTTGTCTTGTCAAAATACATACAAACTTTTACTTGGAAAACCTGAATCAGAGATCACTCGAATTAGGAATAAAAAGGTATCAAACTTGTTCTTGCAGTGAACAGAACAGTGGTTAGTGTGTGGGTGGTCATGCAGAAGGAAAATGTCTTCTGCTACAGATGACAGAAGATCTGCGTTTCAAAACTTGTCAGTATAATCACCGATTCTGTAAAGCATCTAGAAGATTAACTTGGAAATATCTACTGAAATACTGACCAGAATATGTATACTTACTCGCTACCCTTATCCGCGTAGTCCCCGAATGTGGCCTTCGTATAAGCGCAGACCGAGCACTTCTTCCTGTTACACATGGCAAGATGTTTCATTCCCTTCTTGAACTGATTGTTAAGTGACGCACTCTGCCGTGCAACGAACTTTAACTCCGTGACCTGCAAGAATACATTATCATAAATTGTACATCCAGGTACTATCTGGACTGTGCCACAACATTTTTTTTTTTGGCAAAGGAATGGTTTTCTTACAACATACTTCTTTCTCCAGGCCAATAATGTTCTGGCTGATCCTTTTCTTCTGCTGAGTAAGGTCAACCAGGTAATGTCCAACGCCCTTTCGCTCTTCGCACAGAGTTTCCTTCAGTTTCTCGTTCTACGACAAAGGAAACTGAGCTTAGTCTGTTAAAGTTTAGAAGTTCAGTGGATCAAATTGACATGGACTGTCATGGCTGAATGTATTAATTCAGTTTCTCTCAAGAATCTCCAGAAAATAAACTTGTACTTAAAATTTTACGTGGACTTGTAGATACTGGAACTTATTACCATAATGACAAGGTTAGAGTGTCTGGAGCATGAAACCGACCATTCATCTCTAACCACTTTGCTGTAACATTCGTCAGCAGTGAACAAACAATCTTACGATCTGAAATATACATAAATTCTCCATCATCGTTCTGTAACACTTACAATACATAACTGACCGAGATATGTACTTGAACAGAGAAAATACAAATTTGCAAATAACATATCTGTATTGATCACTGGAAAATTCGTGTAATGTTGAAGGTTTACAAATTATATGAACATAATAACAATATGGACGCTTTGGGAACAAATATAGTTTGAAGTGAATAACAGCAAAATAACAAATATAGTCTGAAGTGAATAACAGCAAAATAACTGTATGTCTCGAGCCATCCTGCACTGCATTCGAGGCATGTGAATGAGTCCGTAATGAACACGCTTATAATTAATGAACCTTAGAGCCTAAACAATGTGCGAATGAATCAGCAACGAAAGGTAACTATGTACAATTGCAGTACTTCATTGCCGATGTCGTCAAAGTGATTCTCGAGTGACGCAACGCTCCAAAGAGGCGCGTAAGAGGTGAACTGGTAAGGTATTCTAGACTGGGATGGGTTGTCGCCTTCTATCTGCGGACACCTTATATCCCTGGAAAGCGGAAGTCTCACTCAGAGCCAGTCTGGGCACCGTTGCTAAAAGAAAAATTCCCGACCCTGTCGTGAACCGAGTCCCAATAGGCCAACCCGCACGGACCGAGCTATTCTGGCTCATATTTCTGATTGGTTCAACTTTCATAAGGAACGAACACAACACAGATTGATTTCACTTGCCTCTCTCTCGAGGGTGTCCTTCTCTGTGGCAATGGCAGTCACCTGGCGCATGACTTCCTGACGGGCGCGTTCTAGCCCTCGGCGAGTCGCTTCTGATTCTGCAGCCTGCCGCTTTAGCTGAAGACATGAAATGTAAATCAGCTGTTGAGTTACACGTAAATAACGTCAAGAACTGAAGCTTCATCGGGCGCCAAATGCATGTTGATGTACGTATAAACTTGCCTTGTAAACTACGACAAATAAACAGTTCATTAACGCGTAACCCGAAACCATTTCTTTTCCCACATACCCAAAGTCTTTTTGCCCTTTAAAGCTCAGTGGTAATCATGTGAACCACCTACTTTCGAACATTTCTCTAAGTAACAAAAAAAAAAAAAGATCGAGAAAAGTAAAAGAGGCTATTAAAATTCTTCAATATAACATCTAACAAAAATCTGTACCCTCTTCAGGGTTTAAGCGAGAACGGACAGGAAGCTGATGAGTTATACGGAGTTAGGCGAAAGATCAGGCCAGAAGCGCCGGCCAATCAGAGGGCGGATGAAGCTTTCACGACGACTAACATTAATAAAATCTCCTCGGCCTGTCAGTCGTGCCGGTTGATTAAAAATGGACGTTACAGGGACAAGCTCACCAGGATTAGATCCCGAAACGTCAATTTTTAACATAACTGCCATGGCTGTTAGTCCGAGGAGAGTTTACTAATGATAAAAACTACGCAATCCGATTGTCCTTCATACAAAGTACGACGGAAAACAATGGCTCTGAAATGGCCGTCTCTTAAAAGAGAGTTTTGACACCCCCAATCTCACCTACCTGCCGGTAGGCCTCATTCTTTTCTCGCTCCAGCCTGTCCTTCCATTGCCAAAATTTCTCTTTTTCGGCTCGTAACTGAAACAAACAAAGGATATCAAAATACTAAGGCGAAGAGTGAAAACCCGTAGGCTTTTTTTCAAGTGGCGCAAAAGCTATTAGCAGAGTTTACAATACAATTATTATTCTTTTTAAAGGGCTCATACGGCCTATACGAATCCGTACTTGAGCTAATATAGCCTACGTACATTCCTGACAAACACCCACAAAATATTCATTAAAATTTTAGTCGACAGGAAACATTTGTAAGGTCAGGAGTAAAGCAGTGACTACGTATTAAAACACATACAAAACGAAACTTCTGACGATCTGTAAGTTTTGCGTTCTGGGAAGGGGGAAAAATGAGAACACGTCTGTAGACCGAAAATGATACGTGCAGTCTGGTAGAAATTAACTGACGTTTCAGAGGTACTTGCTGCCTCCACCATCAGGGCGGTCGCCTCCACGATGGAGGCAATAAAAATGACTGATGGATGCACAGACACGTGGCTTCCCCGAACATGTAACTTTGTAGGATTTATTCACGGTTTATTCAACGACGCTGTCAGTGGCTCTTGCTACCTCGCGTCGAATAAGGGTCTATTTATATAGGAACGTAAATATAACGACACTAGCCCTTGCCGATTTTTCAGAAAATATTATTCAATGTTTTTCAATGGAACTGTTTAGGAAAAAATATCGTTGGAGACGTAAGTTGGGCGAGACTCGTTCGTGGAACGGACGAGC